ACTTTACTTCTGGCATATTTTAACGTGTTTTGATATCTTTTAATTTCACTTGGTAAATCTACAGGGCTATTGATAGCATCTTCAACATTTGCAAGAAACTGTTTTTGTGCATCAAACGCTGTTCCTATACCGAGTATATCCGTTCTAGTTTGAGATTGTGAACCAAGAATAGCCCAGCAATAGGTTCTTATGGATTCGTTAATCCGTTGAACACCTGCTCTCGTAAAACCTTCTGAAGTATCAAGAATAAATGTTGTCCAAACATCCTTAACATCATCTTCTTGTAGAATATAATCAATGTGGACTTTTTTAGGCGGAAGATATTCGCATGATGAAATACCACATTTTCTTCCACCTGGAACTTCTTTTCCGAATGTCATTTTAGAAAAATCTAAATCAGATGATGTGCTGCTAGAAATATGTTTTGAAGAATAATCATGTCTAAAATCAGTTCGTTTCCATGCAGAGTGACTAGTTGTGTGAACTAATCCTAAACCATTTCCACTTTTATACAATTTTTGTCTCCAATCTGAATGAGGGTCTACATTAAACTCTTTACATATTCTTTCGTAAGCACCACGGTCATAACTGTTGTTAAATGCATTCCAACTTTTATCTTGTGGTAGGGCAATAGATAATTCAAATAATATTCTTCTTGCTTGGTAGTAAACGTGAAATAAGAATAGTGAACCGATCAACCCTCCTGCTTTTAAATGGTTGTTAACATCTATACCACAACCTGTAGTAGCACACCATATAGCGAAGTTTAATTGATTTTGCCAAAACGATAACCAGTCTGCATTCCATCTATTAACTATTTCATTTGATGATATTTTTGGTAATAGGTAATTTTCAAATATATTTGGGAAATCCGCATTAAAACTTTTCTTATCTGATGAAATAATAACGGATTGTTTTATTATATTTATAGGTTTTTTAAGATATATTCCTCCTGTATTATAAACTACTTCTTCATTGTATTTGAAATTATGTACTGTCATTTTTATTTATTAAAAAATGTATCAAACAATTTCAAACATTGAAAACACTATAAATTTGCTACAATATATAGATAACAAATGCGGTAATAAGAGAATTGGATTGAAGAGTTTTACTTATACTATAGGTTGGTATAATTTAATTGATGAATATATACAAAAGGATTTTGATAGTCCTAACAAGATTACAAATGGTTATTACAGTTTTCAACAAATAGTAGATATATTTGACAATTATAATATTACATTAACTGTAAATGAAACAAATGGTATTGCCTCTTTAATTACTTCAGATAATTTGAATATAAGTAAAGGTTTAAAACAAATATTAGGGTTTAAAAATAAGAAAAGATTTACTGCTAATGAAACGCACTACGGTGAAAGAACAATAGATTTTGCACCTTATAAACAACTATATGTTCATCTTGAGCAGATAAATAGTTCTTACAATTTCTTTGATGGTGCTCCTAGTAATATTCTTTGTGTTGTTCCCGTTGAAAATAAAGCGTTTGGTGATATCGTTCATACGCATTTTAGTAATCCCGAATACAAACAATTAGCACATGGCGATATTTCGGAATTAAGTATAAGCGTTTGTGATGAGAACGGTCAGAAAATAAACAACAATGGATTTCCAATTAGTTGTGTTTTGGAAATTATATAGTTTTTTTTTTACTTTTTATGAATATAATTATTAGCAGCTGCATACAACATTCCGGCAACAAGAACAACTACAGCCCATAAATGTTCACCAAACCAGGATACAACTTTACCCGCGGAAGAAAGCAACCAAGAAACAATAGAACCGATAATACCAGGCAATGCTTCTGCAGCTTTACCAGCTAGAGTAGCTAACAGTTTACCAAGATTTGATAATTGTTTTTTTATCCAGTCTTTTACACCACTTCCATCTTTTGGAGGAGGCTTAGGTGTTGCAGTTCCACCACCGGTAGTAGGAATAAAAGTCTCAACAATAACACCAATAATCATTCCAAAAGCAGTTAAAACACTAACAATTGTAATTCCTTGTTCTCTAAATAAAGTTTTTATTCTCTCGGCTAATGTAGTGTCTTCTTTTAATACTTTATTTATTGTTTCCTTTATTCTATTTACCTGACTACGTAATTTATCTCTATTAACATCAATCACTTCCAGTCTTGCACTTTTTTCAAACTCCAAATCTCTTATTCGACTACTTATCCTTTCTATTTGAAATTCATCATTATCTGATTTGGCTTGTTCTAATTTACGGTTTTCTTTTTCTATGTCTTTATTTGTTTCAGCTAGCTTAACTAATTCATTTGCAATCTCTTCTTTTACAGTAGTCATCGCTTTGAGGACACCATCCATTTCTCTCTTTGTCATATCTGTTTGTGTTTCTTGTTCGTCAGTAAATGATGTTTCTATTACTTTCACTGCAGTTTCAGCTGCATCAGGTAAATCAATCATTTCTATATTATCGACATCAGGTAGATCATCTTTCCCCTTTTGCAAACTTTCAGCCGCTTGGGCTGTTAATGATTTAGTTTTAGATTTATAAGAAGGTAAGCTTAATAAGTCTCTAATTGCATTTGCTCCACCACTACCAATTCTACTCGCCAAAGAACCCAAGTTTATAAAACTACCACCTTTTTTGGAAGTAATTTGAATATCTTTATCACCAACCTTTAAAAATAGTTTTTTATTATCAGGACCAAGTTCAAAGTTTGAATAATCAATAAATACTGGGTCTAACCCATACTTTTCTTTAATCAACTTGTAATATTCTTTTACTACATATTCTTTCTGTTGTACTATTAATTGTGTTCTTGTATCAACATCATCACCGATATCTTCAATATGAGCACTTTGGTTTTGTATAGTTCTATTAAATTCATCATCCTCATCTACAATTAATTCATTATCCTCATCATAGTCATCTTTATCAAACGCAGAATTATCAAATTCAAATTCGCCTTCATCCATTTTTATTACTTAAAAAATATCCTTAAAAATTTCCCTTTAAAAATGTCGGCTTTTGGAGAAAAATTAAACCCTTACAGAAAATTAAGAGAACCGCGTGGTATAAGAGGAATTCGTCAAAGTGTTGTTATAACTAATAATCCTTCAACTATTGATCAAAATCAACAATTACAGGTGAGATTTCCTAATCTAAGTAGTAATGATGTTATTGTTCCCGGATCAGTCAGATTAGCATTTGAAATTGAACTAAACTCTAAAGATGTAAATGCAACAGTATATCAAAACATAGGAAGATCAATAATTAAGAAAACAACAATTAGAATAAGTGGAAATGAAGTTATGTCCATTGATGATAGCGATATTTACCATTGTTATACCGATTTATGGAAGTCTCCCCCTGAACGTTTAAATATGGCCTATCAAGGTATCGGTAAAAATAATATGTTAAAACATAGGATTGGTGCTGCAGATGCTTCATCAGACAAAGAAGATGAGGCTGTAGCAAAAGCATACAAAAACAGGTTCTGCATCCCACTTGATTTTGAACTATTAGAAACTCATATGCCATTCTACCAAGCTGGTCTCGGTGATAGACTCGAATATGAACTTACTTTTAATGATTATGAAAAAGTTATTAAATCAACAGATGCTACTTCGAGTTATACAATCAAAAACATATGTTTGGAATTCGATATGGTGTCTGACCCAGAACTTGCAAGACAAATAAGACAACAGGTAGATGGTAAAATGGTTATTTTATATGACAGAATACTCAGACACAGAAAAATAACTAAAAATAAATCTGATACGCTTTGGAATATTAATCTAAATGTTCCTGCTAGAAGTATGAAAGGTATTCTAATGTTAATCGAAGACCCGGAAAGAACATCAACTGAAACTTATTACAATCCGAATATAACAAAAGTAGAAATGACAATAGAAGGAGTCCCGAATCAACTATACAGTCAAGGAATGAAATCTTATCAACAGTGGGATGAGATAAATAAATTCTTTGCTTTAAATTCAAAACGAAATAAAGAAACAAGTATGATTGTAAAAGATTTATGTTTCACTAGTACAACATTAGAAAAATATCTAACAAACAATTATGCATTATGGTTAGATTTACGTTCAACGGATGATAACACACTCCATGGTTCCGGAAGAAGAGTAGAGAATGCATCAGAAGGTATTACAATACAAATCTCGAAAGAAGCAGGAGCAGATGAACCATAAATTGTTATTAAAGTCGTCTATAAGCATCAGGTTTACTACTGATATAATGCTCGTCCTTACAAAGAGATATTTTGAACATTTGAGTTTCCTTCATATAAATATCTAATACACTTTAAAAATGTTAACCTTTATATCTATTTACTTATTAACGTGAGTTGTAAGAATGAATCCCAAAATATTTGTAAAAACGTGTTGGAAATTAAAATGGCAAATAGAACGTGCGAGGGTACAACCTGGATTGGCACTTTGGTATAAAAAAAGCCAAATTTGTCACATTAAAACTGTTTGAAAGAGAACACAGGTACTAATAGTTTACTAATAAACGTAATAACAAACAGATTGTTAGCACGTATAATCAAAAGGACATCTTTTCAACAATGAATATTTTCATTGATAATGAAACGTGAAATGAGAATGAAAATGTAAAATAAATGTCAATTTATAACTATAAAGGATTTTTAATATTCCAACACGCATCCTGCTGCCACCAGCTGTATATATTTTCCACGGACTTTATGTTGTCGTTAACATTATTCAGTTTTTCACACAAGTTACAAAATGATGACTGTACCATTTTCTGTTCTTTATATACGCGATAGGTATCTTTACGTTTCAAGAAGTTGATATACTCAGTCTTATTCGCACCTAACTCATTCAGATATTTTGATAATGCGGCTGCATTTTTAAAATTGTCTGCGTTTACATAAGTACCATTGGGCAGAAAACTTGGTATAATCACACCCACCTCGAACCACAAGTATGATGTCCAGTTCAAACCAGTTGTAAACTTTTTCTGTTAAATAATCAATACAAATACGTATTTTCAAAAGCAAGGTAAAACTTGTAACGTGTCCAATTTTCAGTAGAATAATAAGTTTTACGTGCGATCTTATTTTCATTACAACCTCCAAACTGATCTACTTTAATATGTTCTCTCATCTTATCAACATACTTTTCTCTTTTAGACTTTGTTGAGCAGTGACTTACAATCCAAAAAACACCTCCATCCTTTTGTTTATATATAGCCGAGTAATGCTTGTCTAAGTCTTTATTTATATGTAGCTCATTGCTCCTTTTTCGTCCGACGTTATGTAGATAATCGGTATAACTTTGCTCATCATCCGACACAATTGCGCCATAAAGAAATGGTATATCAGAATCTGTTCTATATGTCATGGTCCAGTTAAAATAGTTCACGAACATTTTATTGGAAAGATCCGTCATTTGTATATACAAAGGAGGCTCGTTATTCAAAAACACGAAGACTTGATTAGAGTCTCTATGAGTTGGAAGATGTTTAGGCATTCTGTTACCTTGGATGAGGACTGCATCGGCATCTAATATAGTGCCATTAATTTCTGCCGTCATCCGATGTACATTACAATTAGTGACGGAACACACGCTCATGTCTACCGCGTCTATCTCTTTTGACAGCCTAATCTGACGCGGAAAATAAGCAATAATTTTTATTTGATCATTCACTATGATGCGATTTGTCTGACTGTCCTTCCCTATATTCGAAGTTCTGAAATTCTTTAAAGTACGTGTATCATTTATGTTATCTTCATCGCGTTCTACAGATTGCTGCTTTGTATTTGAAAGCTCCTTTGCTTGTCGGAAGAGATCGTCCAGAGTTTCGTGCAATTCACTGTCCTCGGGGTTCCTTTCTAATAATTCCTTTACTCTTTCAATCACATGTTGCCGTTCAGTTTGAAATCGTAAAATTTCTGGTTCCATCATGAACGTAGTCATATAAGACAAACCGAGACAAATAAAAAATAAAAGTATCGCTCTGCTTATTACATAATTACTCGTACATTCTCTGCTGGTAATCATAATGAAATATTCCAACATATGAATACAGTTCAGAACGGCACAAGAATATAATATTGATACTTTATTAGAATAGATGGGAAATATAGCTTATTTCTGTAAGAATATGCAAATAATTAGCTTAAGACGTTTCTGCATCAATTAACTGAGTAGTGTGACAGATGTTAATCATGAGGAGGTATGATGACAATGACCTGGGAAATAAAAAATAAAATAAGTTATTGTACCTCTCAGGCTTGAGGCACTGTGTGGGATTTCTGTTATTTATTATCATCCCGTTTTAAAACAGACTAATGGCCAAAGTATGCTTCAATAATTGTTGGAATATTTAGAGCTCTGGCACAAAGTGGACATCAGGAGCCCGAAGCAATATATGCGCTTTGTGGCGTTATGTTATTAAGAAATGTACAGCCATTGATAATGATATTATTTTACAATTTGTATTTTGATGTTGCTTGACAGTATAAGTTTGTGCGTGTTTCAATCATATCTTTTTACCTACACTTCTTTAGGAGTAAGGAATTTTTGTGCGTGTTTTTGGCATATTTTAGTTAAAATCAATACTTCTGTAGGGTTAGGGTTAGGGTTAGGGTTAGTTTCATGTTGTATGGTGGCCCTATTACAGGTGCTCTGGTGTGCTATAGGGGCTTTGTTCGATAGGGGCTCCAGTGTTCAATAGTGGATCTTTTAGTCAGGCAAAGGCTCTGAATTTTGCCACCATGGGGCTCTCGACCGTCAAAATTGTGGCTCTCTGGTGAAACGTCATTAAAGTGAAATGCTACCCCTGACCTTGACCTACTTATCATAGGTCACCTCAGATGACCTTGACGAACATTTTGTCTAATTACATGATGGGTGTCAGACTTCAAATGAAAAAGTAGCCATTTTTTTTCTAACCCAGCAAGTTTATTTCTATTTGATGGATCTGTAGTTAGAAAGGGGGTCAAGGAGGGGTGGGGCAATCTTTAAATTTCACCCACGTGCAGTGCTGGTCGACCAGTCACTGCTCCATCCATTTGATGGTTTAAGACTTGATGGTGACGTCATGGCAACGGTTTGATTAATGGCTCTCTACCCCTGATTTTGAAGGGGTAGGAGAGCCCCATGGTGGCAAATCAGACAACAGTTATCCGCTCTTGGCATGAGTTACCCCCCATAGGTGTTACTTCAGAGCCACTGTATATAGGTCAAGGGTAGGATCGATTTTTGTCATACAGTGGCTCTCCGCTACCCCACAAGGTCAAGGTCAGGGCCCCCACAAAGCACAGAGCCTTCGAATAGCAAAACGTTCTACCCCTACCCCACCACCAAAATTATAACAAAGTGTAAAAAAATCTGAGGCCACTATCCGGCAAGATGGGGTACGTTTTTTTCAACTTGCCAAAGTACAAAGTTTTTAAAGTATTGAGGCCACTGCCCAGCACGATGGGGTACATACATACATACATACAAAAAACACACATACTCACACACAAACACACACACAGACACAAAAACATACAGACACACAGACAGACAGTAACACATACAAAGACAAACAAATACACAGACACACACATACAGACAGACACTCAGACACAACATACACACCGACACCGACACAGACAAACACACACACAGACACAAACATTAGTGTTAATTTGAAGACAAAGTGCGAAAAATCCAGGGCCACCGTCCAGCAGTATGGGGTAGGTAAAATTGCTGTACAGTGGAGCTGATTTCTACCCCTGAGGGGTAGCTAAGAGCCACTGTAAATCCAGGGCCACCGTCCAGCAGTATGGGGTATATAAATACATACAAAAACACAAACACACACAGACAGACAGACACACAAACACACACACAAATACATACACAGACACATGGACATACATACAGACACACACACAGACACACAGACATATACAGACAGACACACATACACAGACACAGACAAACATACACAGATGGACACATACATACACACATAATAATACAAACTGAAGAGAAAAAGGATATAATATTACAAACTGGTAAAAGAGAGAATATAGTAATACACACTGGAGAAAATGATATGAAAATATCAAAGAGAGATATGTTACATATATACATACATACATAAATACAAACACACATACATACACATATAATACATACGTACACACATAATACATACATACACACATAGTCATACAAACTGGAGAAAGAGAGAATATAGTAATACACACTGGAGAAAATGATATGAAAATATCATAGAGAGATATGTTACATATATACATACATACATACAGACATACATACATACAGACAAACACATAGACACACAGACAGACACCTACAGACATACAAACACACAGACACACGGACAGACAGATACACAAACAAACACTTATAGTAATTTGAAGACAAAGTGCGAAAAATCCAGGGCCTACGTCCTGCACGATGGGGTAGGTTAAATTGCTGTACAGTGGAGCTGATTTCTACCCCTGAGGGGTAGCAAAGAGCCACTGTAAATCCAGGGCCACCGTCCAGCAGTATGGGGTACATGCATACATACAAAAACACAAACACACAGACACACACAAACACACACAGATATATACAGAGATACACAGACAAACATACATACATACATACAGACAGACATACAGACAAACACACAGACACACAGAGAGACAGACACATACAGACATACAAACACAGACAAACATACACATACACACACAGACACAAGCATACACACCGACACAGACACAGACAAACACACACGCACACACACAAACACACACATACAGATAGACACACAAACACACATACACATTTGTACAGTGGCTCTGAAACTACCGCATTTCTACCCCAAAACTGTTTCTGTCAAGGCCCCTACTTAACACAGAGCCAGTATATAGCACATTTCTACCCCTACCCCATGACTTTTACGTTTAATTGAACGCAAAGTGCGAAAAATCCAGGGCCTACGTCCAGCACCATGGGGTAGGTTAAATTGCTGTACAGTGGAGCTGACTTCTACCCCTGAGGGGTAGCAAAGAGCCACTGTAAATCCAGGGCCACCGTACAGCAATATGGGGTAGGTTAAATTGCTGTACAGTGGAGCTGACTTCTACCCCTGAGGGGTAGCATAGAGCCACTGTTAATCCAGGGCCACCGTCCAGCAGTATGGGGTAGGTCATATTGCTGTACAGTGGAGCTGACTTCTACCCCTGAGGGGTAGCAAAGAGCCACTGTCAGGGCCACAGTCCAGCAATATGGGGTAGGTTAAATTGCTGTACAGTGGAGCTAACTTCTACCCCTGAGGGGTAGCAAAGAGCCACTGTAAATCCAGGGCCACCGTCCAGCAGTATGGGGTATATACATACATACAAAAACACAAACACACATAGACAGACACACAGACACACACACAAATACATACACAGACACACAGACATACACACAGACATACATAAAGGCACACTCACAGACACTCATACACAGACAAACATACCCAGACACAAACACCGACACAGACAAACACACACGCACAGACACAAACACACATACAGATAGACACACAAACACACATACACACAGACACAAACACACACACAGACACAGACACACAAACACACATACACATTTGTACAGTGGCTCTGAAACTACCGCACTTCTACCCCAAATCTGTTTCTGTCAAGGCCCCTACTTAACACAGAGCCAGTATATAGCACATTTCTACCCCTACCCCATGACTCTTACGTTTAATTGAACGCAAAGTGCGAAAAAGCCAGGGCCTTTGTCCAGCACCATGGGGTAGGTTAAATTGCTGTACAGTGGAGCTGATTTCTACCCCTGAGGGGTAGCAAAGAGCCACTGTAAATCCAGGGCCACCGTCCAGCAGTATGGGGTACATACATACATACAAAAACACACACACAGACACACACACAGACACAGATTTACAGACACAGACAAACATACACAGACACACACAGACACATACACAGACAAACATACACAGACACAAACACACACACAGACACAGACAAACACAAATTCAGACACAAACACACATATACAGATAGACACACAAACACAGACACATAAACACATATACACATTTGTACAGTGGCTCTGAAACTACCGCACTTCTACCCCAAAACTGTTTCTGTCAAGGCCCCTACATAACACAGAGCCAGTATATAGCACATTTCTACCCCTACCCCATGACTCTTACGTTTAATTGAACGCAAAGTGCGAAAAATCCAGGGCCTACGTCCAGCACGATGGCGTAGGTTAAATTGCTGTACAGTGGAGCTGATTTCTACCCCTGAGGGGTAGCAAAGAGCCACTGTAAATACAGGGCCACCGTCCAGCAGTATGGGGTGCATACATACATACAAAAACACAAACACACAGACACACACACAGACACACATACACACACACACACACACTAATACATACATAGACACACAGACATACACACGGACATACATACAGGCACACTCACAGACACTCATACACAGACAAACATACACAGACACAAACACACAATTCGACACAGACAAAGACACAAACACACACATACAGATAGACACAAAAACACAGACACACATACACATTTGTACAGTGGCTCTGAACTACCGCACTTCTACCCCAAATTTGTTTCTGTCAAGGCCCCTACTTAACACAGAGCCAATATATAGCACATTTCTACCCCTACCCCATGACCTTTGACCTCTGGTCAGAGCCCCTGTGGGACGTTCTACCCCTTGTCTTGTACGGTGGCTCTGACCTTGACCTTGAGGGGTTGGGGTATGGTTAGGGTTAGGGCTAGAGCCACGCCAACGCCCGGGCCCACGAATAACGCGTTTTTGAGATTTAAGGTTTTCGGGTGAAAAGGTCATGATGGCAGATCCAGTCGAAACCAG